CTGCCATGGATGTGCTCACTAAGTTGTGCCAAGAAATTTGGAGGACAACCAGCTGGCCAACTGACTGGAAGAGATTGATATTTGTTTCCATTCCAAAGAAAGGTGATCCGACAGAGTGTGGAAATTATAGAACAATATTATTAATATTATATGTAAGCAAAATTCTGCTGAAAATTATTCAAAAACAAGTGGAGCAACACATTGGCACAGAAATGCCAGATGTGCAGGTTCAGTTTATAAGAGGTCATGGTATTAGGGATATTATAGCTAATGTTAGCTGGATCTTGGCAGAAATTCAATGTACTTCATCGACTATTCAAAGGCTTTTGACTGTGTGGATCACAATAAGCTGTGGCTGACTCTGAGAAGAATGGGAATCCCAGAACATTTGATCGTGCTTATGCAAAACCTATACCAATCTATATGCAGAACAGATCATCCGGGACACTGGGATGTACAAGGAGGAATGTGGCATCAGGATTGGTGGAAGATTCATCAACAGCCTGCCTTTTGCAGATGACACAACCCTGCTTGCTGAAACTAAGGAGGACCTGAAGCTCTTGCTACAGAAGGTCAGAGACTGCATCCTTCAATATGGATTGTAGCTCAACATCAAGAAAACAATTGGTAGCATCAGTATGGATGGTGAAGAGATTGAGATAGTTAGCAGTTTTAGTTTTCTTGCCTCCACAGTCAACATTCTTGGTACCAGCAGCCAGGAAATCAAAAGACGAGTTGCATTGGGAAAGTCAGCTGTCAGGGGCCTCTCCAGAGTCCTGAAGAACAATGATGTCAGGCTGGAAACTAATGTGCGGCTGATTCAAGCTTTAGTCTTAGCAACTGCGTGCTATGCATCACAGAGCTGGACATTGACTAGAGATGATAGAAAGTGAATTGATGTCTTTGAGCTCTGGTACTGGAGAAGAGTGTTGAATGAACTGCTAGGAGAACAAACAGGTTTGTCCTGGAGAGGGTTGAGCTGGGCTGCTCCTTGGAGTTAAGGATTCTGAAGTTTTGTCTGACATACTTTGGGCATGTTACAAGGAAGGACCAGTCCTTGGAGAGGGATATCATGTTTAGGAGGGTGGAGGGACAGCGCAGGAGGGGAAGACCCTCCATGAGATGGATCAATTCAGTGATTGGGGTAGTGGGAACAGGTGCGTCAGAGACAATGAGGTTGGCAGGGTTTAGGGCTCTTGTACATAGGGTTGCTATGAGTCACAAGTGACTTAATAGCACATAACAACAACGTATACTGGTTTACTTACAAAGTTCGTATATATTGTTTTTCACACCGAATCTTACCCTTTCCCTTTACCCACTCCTCATTCCACTTGTCAAATTATGTGACCTTATGATTAAGCACCCTTTTCCCCTCTTTGGATTCTTATACTTGTTCTACAATAATCAGCACACACTAAATAGATATAGAGTAAGGATATAGGTCTGATGCATATCTCTCCTGATTTTGAAATTTGCAATGCTTCCTTGTTCTGTTTGCACAACCGCTTCTGGGTCTAAGCAGGTTTTTCATGAGTACAAGCAAATGTTCTTGAATTTCTGTTTTTCTCAATGTTATCCATTATAGATTATGGTCACCACAATTGAGTGTCTTTGAATAGTCCATGAAATACAAGTACACATTTTTCTGGTATTCTCCTTCAGCCAAGATCTATCTGACATTAGCAATGATATCCTTAGTTCTATAGCCTCTTCTCAATCCAGCTTGATTTTCTGGCAGTTCTCTATTTATGTACTGTTACAGCCATATTAATATATTCTTAGCAAAATTTCACTAGTATGTCATAGTAATGATATTATTTGATAATTTTTGCACTCTGTTGTATCACCTTTTTAAACAATGGGAACAAATATGGATCTCTGGATCTCTTCTAATCAGTTAGCTAGGTAACTATCTTCCAAATTTCTTGGCATAAGCTCGTGAGTGTAGAGGGCCCTCCATTGATATTTCATCAATACCTGGGGCTTTATTTGTTGCCAATGTCTTCCTTCATCACCCTTGGTTTTTCCTAAAATGGCTCAGAGTCAACCAGTTCTTCTTTCTATAATGACTTTCGTATATCCAGCACCTTTTTATGCTTCCTGAGTGATTTAACATCTTGGTTATAGAATCTTTTTATATTGCAACTTAACTTGAATTTGTTCTTCCAACTTAAGAAATGCCAAAAGCAAAAAAAAAAAAATGCCAAAAGCATTCTTCCTTCTTATTTGTTTGTTTCTGTTTTTTAACTCTGGCTTTTTGCACATTTTGTTGTAATGATTTGTTTTTTCTTTATATTGCCCTTTGAAATCTTCTTTCCAGCTCTCTTCAATGTTTTTTCCCTTTGTTTCAGTCTCCCTACATTCTAGAGCAAGTTTCAGAGTCTCTTCTGACATCAACTTTTATCCTTTCTTTCTTCCCTATATTTGCATTGACCTTTTGCTTTCTTCATCAATGATGTCTTTCATGTCATCCTACAACTCATCTGACCTTCACTGATTAATGTTCAATGTGTCAGATCTATTCTTGATATTTTTTTAATTCAGGGGTCATATTCTTCAACTTAAATTTGAACTTACAACTAGGTAATTGGTGGTTTATGGTACAGCCATCCCCTGGCCCTGTTTTGACCACTGAAATTGAGATCTTTCAGCATCTCTTTCCACAAAAATAGTGAATCTGATTCCTATTAATCCATCAGGGGATGTCCCATGTGTATGGTCACCCTTTTGTGCTTTTGGCTTTTTAAAACATTATTTTTATTTTGTACTGATTTGCATACAAAACTCACATACATTATGTTTCATTTATATACACTGTGTTTCACACATTCCTCTGTTCACATTGTGTTTCATGCAATCATTCTCATGTATTACCTTTTATAAAATTAATCACCATTGATCCATGTCCACCATTACACTATCTTTTCAGGTTCCCACTGGACCTTTCCTAATTCTTTTACCAACTATGTTTTAAGAAAAGGTATTTGTAATGACTAAATCATTGATTGTACAAAATTCTGACATTTGATCTCCAGCCTCATTTCTGTCACCAAGGCTCCATTTTCCATCTACCAGTCCTTTTTCCTTGTTAAAACTTTTTTCCAGTCTCTAATTATTATTGATCTATATTGATCATATGTTTAATCCATTTTCAATTGTAAAAGTTGATAAAAATAGTAATTTATTTTCATCTTTGGCTTTAGTGATTGTGTATAATTGAATAATAGTGGTATTAGCAGGCGTTTTTTGATATTTATGGATAGCATTCGACCATTCATAGCCTTGTACTTCAAGATAGAACCTGAACCTTTTTTTTCACTGTGAATATCACACCATTCTTTTTCAACTTGTAATTCCCAGCGTAGCAGATGATTAAAATTGATTAAAAATGACCAATATCATTCCATCTCAACACACTAATGCCTAGGATGCCAATTTTTATGCTAATTTTTTACTACTTCCAATTTTCCTAGATTCATACTTTATACATCAGATGTTCAGATTATAAATGGATATTTGCAACTACTTCTCTTCATTTTGTGAGTTCCTTCTAACATGAGGGGCCCATCCTCTGGCACTATATCTAACAACATTATGGAATCACCTGTGACCTATAGTGACCCTATGTACAGCAGCTCTGAACTCTGCCCTGTCTTGAGCCAGTCTCAGAAATTCTGATACACCAACCCCCATTGCCCCAGTTCCTGTATTAATCGGTTTCATTTGGGGTCTTCCTCTCCTACACTGTCCCTCCACCCTTTCAAGTATGATGTCTTTCTCCAAGGACCAGTTTCTCTTGGCCACATGCCCAAAGTATGTGAGATATAGCTTCAAAATCCTAGCCTCCAAGGAGAAATTTGATTTCACCCTCTCCAAGATAGACCAATTTGTGTACCATGGTGGTCCATGGTAGTCTCAAGCCTCTTTTCCAGCACTATAATTTGAAGTCATTGATTCCTCTTCTGTCATCCTTAGTCATTGCCCAGCTATCTGTTGCATAGTAAGTAATTGCAAAGACCATGGCCTGGATCAGGGGCACCTCAGTCTCTAAACTGACATCATTGCTTTTCAGCACTCTGGAGAGGTCTATGACAGCAGATTTTCCCAATGCAATTTGTCTTTTGATTTCCTGACTGCTGGTGTTAAGAGTGTTGTTTGTGGGGCTGAGCAAACAGTAGTTGTTAACAACCTCAATCTCTTCTTCATCTGTCATGGTTCTGCCAATTGGCCTAGTGGTGAGTATCTTTGTCTTCTTGATGTTGAACTTCAAACCATATTGAAGACTACAGTCCTTGACATTCTGCAACAAGCGCTTTAGGTCTTCATCAGTTTCAGCAAGCAAGGTTGTGTCATCTGCATAACACAGGTTGTTGATGAGTCTTCCTCCATTCCTGATGCCACATTCCTCCTTAGAAAGCCTTGCCTCCCGGATAATCTGTTCTGCATATAGATTGAAAAGGTATGGAGACAGGACACTTCCCTGACACACTCCCTTCCTGATTCGGAACCATTCAGTGTTTCTCTGCTCTATTCTGAGGTCTAAGTATGATGGAATAAGCTTAACAATCAGTAAATGCTGGATTGTCCAACAATACAGAGAGCATTCATCCTACAAGAGGCCGATATTTGAGGGTCAAATACCATAGGAAACCAGGCTTTCAGGATCAAGATAAGATTTTCCCCTAGAATATTTTTAACGTCCTAGAAGAGATTTATTGACTAAGTCCTTTGCATCAAAGGGATGCAAAGGGATCCTTTGTTCATGGGAGTGTATAACCTTAGTTAAGCCATGCCTAACTATTGGCCCCAATCACCAATGAATGAGAAAGGTACTGCAGACCAACTCCTCTCTCTATTTTCACAACTTAGAATAGTGTTCTATCCAATTTCAGGAAGAAAAGTACTAGGATTCCTCCTCAGCTACTGGGTCTGATTATATTTGAGGGTGGTCTAGGGGTGGACAATGACAGAGTAAGAACATTCTCTTAGGTACTTACGTTATTCCATCAGATTGAAAGCAATGAGCAGCAGACAGAATCCACCACTTGTTCAGGATAGCACCACCACAGAAATGTTCATTTCCTACCTGAATGCTCACCATCCATGGAAACTCACCAATCCCAGCCTCCACCCCCTCTATGATTCTGGAGTATTTAGCGTCTCCTTCAAAAAGAGGTCTCTCACCACATCCTGTAAGAAAAGGAAATAGAAAGTATTTGTTTGGTATCTTGTCAAGTGTTGGCAGAGCTCCCAAGAGTAGTGGAAAGAAAAGATTCAAAATTTTGATAATAAATTTGTTAAATAAATACTATTACTCTCTACTGCCTCTATCTCAATGGGAAGAAGTGGCTCATAAGTAGATTTCACAGTAACTGTTTTATAGTTAACTAAACAGAAGCAGGTCCATTGAAACATTCCTAGTAGCAAGAGAAAATTAACCATTCCTCCCCACCCCCACACCCCCGGCCCATCTACAGGGCTCAGAATATGGTAAGAAGCTTTAGCTCTGTAAGTTTCCACCATTGAGATCTCAGGCAAGTCAACTCATTGAACTTGCCTCTGTTATAATCCAAGCAAAATTGGATGAAAATATTTGTCCAAAGCCAACCTCAGTGTGATGAGCCAAGAAAGTGGCTCCCAAAGATGTCCAGAGTCTAATTCTCGGAGCCTTCACATACATCACCTTGAAAGACAAAAGGTAATTTGTAGATGCAATTTAAAGGAAATAGAACTTGAAATTCAAAGATTATCTAGATTCTGAGTTGGGTCACAATAGTCACAAGGGTCTTTAAATGTGAAAGAAGGAAGCAGAAGAGAATTGCTCAGAGGATGATATACTTAAGGAAAAAGGACAAAGAAAGATTCATTATTGCTGACTTTGAAGATGGAAGAAAGTGATATGGGTGGCTTCTGGAAATTAGAATAAACAAGGAAACAACTTTCAAAAAGCAACAGGATCTTATTGACACCTTATATTTAGTCCAGAGAGACTTATTTTGGATTTCTCTACAGCACTGTTGCTGTTCTGTACCATAGAGATAAAACCAACTCATAGCTGACCCTCTAGTGGGCTTTCAGAGGCAGTTTAATCACATAGGAGAAGATTGTTCATCTTTCTTCCACAAAGCAGCTGGTAGATTTGAACCACATGCCTTTGGAATTGCGGTACAGTTTCTTACAATTAGGTCACCAGAGCTCTCAAATCTACAGGACTGTACAATAAAAATATGTGTTGTTTAAGTCACCAACTTTCTCCTAATAATTTGTCACAGCAACAATAAGAAACTAACACATCTGTGAAAGTGGAAATACAATAGTGAAAAAACATGGACTGACTGGAAACACAATACTGTCTATTCACTGAAAAGCTATGGAGGAAGAAGGCTGTAGTTGCCTGTGTTGAGAAGAGAAAATAAACTTCTAGGTAGTCTGCGTGTAACTTAGCTTCCTCAAAAAATAGGAGATTTTTCACTAGTATTTGCTGAATTGAATGTTCACCCTGTGTATTGGAACAAGCCATGAATTTGACTATAAAAGGCCAAGATTCGTCTTAACTTTTCCGTTCGTTTTCTAATTGTCAGTTCAACAGAGATATTGAAGAGTTCGTGATGTGAACTAAAGTGATCCTAAGCCAGTGACTTTGGTTGAAAAACTGAGATGAGAAATTAGCAGTATGTATTAAAAGTCTCAATCTGTCAGAAATAGGTAATAAGCAAAGTTATCTTTAGGACTTTTAGACTTACATTTCCTTTTAAATTTTTAATTTTTTATATTTACTTTTACATAATAATCTTTGTTGTTAGGTGCTGATGAGCATAACTCATAGTGACCCTATGCATAACAGATCTGAATCTTGTTCTATCTTATACCAGCCTCACAATCTCAAACACACACAAATCCAGTGCCTCAATCACTGTGTCAACTTGAGAGTCTTCTCTTTATCTTTCACCTTCCCAAGTATGATGTCCTTTTCCAAGAATTATCCTTTCCTGGCAACATGCCCAATGTATCTGAGACGAAGCTTTGCCATCCTTGCCTCTAAGGAGCACTCTGGCTCTGCCTTCTCCAAGACATATACGTTTGTTTGTTCTTTGGGCAGAAAATGGGATATTTAGTGCTCTTCTCCAACACCACAACTCAAAGGCACCAATTTTTTTCTGTCATCCTTATTCATTGTCCAGCTCTCAGGAGCATAACAAGTGGTTGAAAAGACATGATGGTCTAAATCAGGCAATCTTAATACTGAAACAAAACATCATTGCTTCTCAATAGTTTGGAGAGGCCTCTGACTGAAGATTTCCCCATTGCAATACATCTCCTGACTGCTGGTACTAAGAATATTGATTATGAATCCAACTAAGATAAAGTTGTTGGCTGTTTTAGTTGTCATCTATCATGATGTTGCCTGTCAGTCCAGTGATGAGAATTTTTGTTTTCCTTACATTGATGCATCCATTTGAAGGCTGCAATGCTTGATCTTCTGTAACAAGCATTTAGAATCCTCTTTACTTTCAGCAAGCAAAATTATGTAGTTTGCATAATGCAGATTATTGATGAGTCTTTTTCGTAGCCCATTGCCACATTTTTCTTTGTAGATCCAAGCTTCTCGAATAATGTGCTCAGCATAAATATTTAATAAGTATGATGAAAGGATAAAACCCTGACATACACCTTTCTTAATTTTAAACCATGTAGTATTCCCTGCCCTGTGCGCACAACAACTTCTTGGTTCAAGTATAGGCTTTGTATGAGTACAATTAAGTGCTCTGGAATTTCCTTCCTTTTTAATGTTAGTCATGATCTGTTAGATCAACACAAATGCCTTTGCATAATCAGTAAAGCACAAATAGGCATTCCATTGGTATTCTTTGCTTTCAGCTAAGATCTATCTGACATCAACAATGATATCCTTGATGACATGGCTTTTTCTAAATCCTGTTTGAACTTATAGCAGAGCTCTGTCTATTTACTGTTCTAACCATTTTTAAATGATCTTCAGCAGTGATATTGACGATATTGTACTATAATTTTCACATTCTGTTGGCTCACTTTTCTTAGGATAGGGAACAAATGTGAATCTCTTTCAGTTGGTCAGCCAAGTAGTGGTCTTCCAGATTTCCTTGCATAATCTCGTGAACACATCTAGGGCTACATCTGTTAGTTTAAACATGTCAATTGGATTTCTATCAGTTCCTGGGGCCTTATTTTCCCGTCCATGCCTTCACTGAAGCTTGAATTTTTTCCTTTCTCACCCTTGGCTCTTGATCATATGATATTTTCTGAAATACTGTCATGTTGGCCAGTTCTTTTTGGTACATGGATTCTGTGTATTGTCTTTTTAAATTTTTTTCCTTTTTAAAAAAATTAATTTTAATGGAAGTTTACAGAGACTTAAGGTTTCCAGTCCTCCTGTATGTTTTTTGTGCTTCCTACATGACTCAAGATTTTGTTCATAGCATCTCTCACTAGTGCAACTCAAGGCTTGGATTTGTTTTCAGTTATTTTGAGGGTTGCTGAGCACGTTCTTCTCTTTTTATTCTCTAATTTTAGGTCTCTGCATTATTTAATTATAAGAGTTGCTCTGCTTTCTCTAGCTACCCTTTGAGATATTCTGTTGAGCTATTTTACTTCAACATCTCTTCCCTTTGTTTTGGATTCTCTATGCTCCAGTGCAATTTTTAGGGTCTTTTCTATATTCATTTTGGTTTTTTCATCCTCCTCTGTTTCTGTAGTGATTTTTTGTTCTCTTCATGGGTGATATCATACCACAACTCATCTGGTCTTTGATCACTGGTGTTTAATGCTTCAAACCTATTCTCACAATGATTTATAAATTCAAGTGAAATAGACTGAAGATAATATTTTTGTTTTTATGGACTTGCTTTCATTTTATTTAGCCTCGGTTTGAACTCGCACATGATGATCTGTTCCATAGTCAGCACCTGGCCTGATTCTGGCTGCTAATACTGAATTTCTCCAACAATTTCTTCCACAGATGTAGTAAATCTGATTTCTATGCAGTCTGTCTGATGAAGTCCATATGTAAAGTCACTATGTTTTTAAAAAAGGATATTTGCAATGACTAAATCATGGCCAAAATGTGATCCTTCTAGTTCTGGCCTCATTTCTGTTACCAAGTCTGTACTTTCCAACTTCACTGCCTTCTTCATTGTCTCTAACTTTTGTATTCCAGTCATCAATTATTAACACATCTTGATTGGTTGTTTGGTCAACTTCAGACTGCAAAATTTGATAAAAATCTTCAATTTCCTCCTTTTTAGCTTTGGCTGTGGGATCATATGTTTGAATAATAATCAAATTAACTGACATTCCTTGTATGTGTATGAATAGTATCCTACTGTTCACAATGTGGTACTTCAGGATAGAACTTGAAATTGTCTTTTCAAGTATGACTGCAACATAATTCTTCTTCTGTTTTTGATTTCCAGCATAGTATAGCATGTGATTATCTGGTCCTAAGTGGCCAAAGCCAGTCCATCTCATCTCACTAATGCCTAGAATGTTGAAATTCACACATTCCATTTTATTTTGTACAACTTTTTAATTTCCCAACATTCATATTTCATACATGTTCCAACTATTAAAGAATGTCTGCAGTTATTTCTCCACTTTCTTAATGACTTTTAATCTGGGATTTGCCTCTAATACTCTATCTATTCATGTCCCTCTATTGTTCATAGGACTTTCAGAGGCCTGCTATTTCAGAACCAAATGGCAAATCCTTCTTCCTAGTCTGTCTTAATCTGGGAACTCCACTAAAACCTCTCCACTATGGGTGACACACTGGTGGCAAGTCTTTAGCATCCCAGCATCCTTGAGTTGCCTTAGTACAGCAAACTCACAGACAAGTGTTGTACTAATTAGAACAGTGATAAATAAGCAAGAATACAGATACCCAAGCTACAAAGTAATTAGAAATATGCAGATGATTCCCCCAATTCATAACTGACCACAGTTTAGGAGACTCCAAGTCTGAATCTCAGGTCCCAGCACTAGGGAAGGTTTTCTCTCTCTGGAAGTTCTGGAGGAAGGTGCTTGTCTCTGAACTTTTGCTCCTGGACTTTCCCCCCGTGGCTTAGTATCTCTGTTTTTCCATATGAGCTGCACAGTTGGTACAGCAGGATAATGCCCCAGGTGAGGGCAATGGCTCTGTTGGAAATGGTATACTGGTGCTTCTCACTTGGGTCAGGGACTGGAAGTGAAGATGGGTAGAAGATCTGTCTTCTTCACTTCTGCTTGCCTTCTCTAAGCCCAGGAGCTGTCAGCAAGGCCTGATGGGAGTCAAAAGGTTGAGGCTTCTGAGAGAAGATGTTGGAGATGAATGGAAGATCCAGATTCTTAAAGTAAGACACCAGAGCTCCCAATTTTATTTATGAGCTTACTTGCATGGGCATTGATTGTAGATCCAAGTTAAATTAAATCCTTGACAATTTCAATCGTCTCTCTAATTCTCCTGATTTGCTTATTGGCCTATTTGTAAGAATTTTTGTGATGTAGTCCACGGAGAGTTGTGAAGCTAACCCAAAGTTCTCACTTCTCTGGCAGGTGGAATCTTCCAGCAGCTCTGTGAGTAAAAGATGGGCAGTCTCCACCATGTGATTTGCAGTCTCAGAAACCAAATGTGAGGTCAACTGTGAATGAGTTCTGGCCAGACGGCAATGAGAATGAAGGAGTGAATTAGGCTGAGGTGTAACCCATACATAGTTGTCATCTTTGATCTTTCATCACTCAAGTCCTCTGCTTTCAGCAACTAAGATTATGTATCTGCATATTGCTTTGGTGTTTAATGAATCCTCCTCCGACCATGATACGATGTTCTTCTTCATATCGTTCAGCTACTCAGATTATTCGCTCTGGGTACAGATTGAATAAATGGGGTGAAAGGATACAACTCTTATACACACCCTACCTTTCCTGATTTTAAGCAATGCAATATTTCTCTTATGATATTAAAGTTCCATGAGCACAATCAAGTGTTGTGAAATTCCCATTCTTCACAAGGCTATCCATCATTTTTATGTCTGGCATAGTTGAATAACTATATAATCAATAAAACACAGGTAAAACTCTTTTTTGTAATCTTGCTTTCCGTCAAAATCCATGTGACATCAGCAACAAAATCCCTTCTTTTATACTGTTCTCAGAATCTGGCATGAATTTTTAGTAGTTTTCTGTGGATGTATTGCTGCAACCAATTTTTAATTACCTTCAGCAAAATTTTTACATTGTAATACCAATAACATTGTTTGATAATACAGAATACACTACAGAGTGCCACAGGAATGAGCAAGCCTGCCACAAAAAATATATAGCCAGAATGTTTCTTAAAAGTGAGGATGGAAAAAACAATGAAGATGGTGAAACTGAATCTCTCATACTTTGGATGTGTAATCAGGAGGAATCAGGACTTGGAAGAAGAACAAGCTAGTGAAGTCCTGCCTCAAAATAAGGGGAGGACTCTCAGTGCAGAAGATTGGCATTGTGGCTGCAACAAAGGGCGCAAAAGGAGCAATATTTGTGAGGACCTGCAGGCCCAGGCAGCACATATTCTATTGTACACAGGTTGCTATGAGTTAGATCCAATTCCACTGCATCTAACAAGAAGACATTCCTAGTTAGTTGAATACTTTTATTCAGTAAAACAAAGTAATTAATTTTGTCACCCTGTTATTCATTTTTTATTTTATCAATTGATCCTGCTACTTAAATACTTCAAAAAAATAGGAGTGAATAATTTCTAGCTCATTGTTTGAGGCCAACATAAGCCTAATATTAACAACATCAGAAGAAAATCAATAATGGACTGAAATTCTTTTACAAATAGAAATGTCAAGTACTTAACAAAAATATTAGCAAACTAAACCCAATAGTTTTAAAAGATTATATGCTATAAATCAAGTGAGATCCCAAGAATGTGGGATAACCAGGAAGGTGGTACAATATGATAAAATTAATCAATGCAGTATATCATATTTTTAATAAAGGATAGTTGATTTTCTTTTCATGTTTTGTCATTTTTAAAATATTTCAAAGAATAAACTTTTCCTTGATTTTATTCTTTTTCGAGAGGGTTTCATTCATCACTACTACTACATTTGTTATTTGTTTTTTTTATGGACAGTCATTCCTCTTTATCTTTCACTCTGCATTATATTTCTTCATCATTCATTGACATGTTAAAGCAGATTGTGTTGGTCTGTTTCTGCCTAGTTCCACTACCCAGGTGTAAACTCCATGAGGGCACAAAACATTTTTGTCTTGTTGACACCGTGTCAGTGCTTGGAAACACACCTGACAGGGAAAGGGATTCAATAATGATGAGTGATATCCTGGTCTGATAATTTCACCCATGAAAATTATCCTAAGGAAAATCTGGAAATTAACAATTATTTATATGCAAAAATATTTACAGGACTGATATTTATAGTGGTAAAGAATTAAAAACAACTTAAATGTTATGGTGAACAAATAAAGGCACCTCTAAATAATAAACAGCTATAAAAATTGTACTTTGGGGGGAGTTTTAATGATAAGAGAAAATAGTTATGTTTAATGAAAACATAAGGAGAAGAATACATAAAAATACACATGAATTTATAACTTCAAACATCTTAAACTTTGGATTTATGAATGTAGAAGACATTATGTCTAAATATTAAGAGGGAATATGAGCTTGATTCGATGATAACTAGCAGTTGTGATTTCTCCTGCAAAAAAATACATGTTGTTGTTATGTGACATCAAGTCACCTGTGACTCATAGTGACCATAAGTACAAAGCCCTATACCCTGCTCTATTCTGTGCCAATTTCACTGTCTCCAACATATCCACTCCAATTACCCCAGTCATTGAATCAATCCACCTTATAGAGGGTCTTCCTTTCCTGCGTTGTCCCTCTACCCTCCCAAGCATGACATTCTTTTCCAAGGATTGGTCCATCCTTGCAACATGTCCAAAGTATGTCAGATAAAACTTCAGAATCCTTGCCTCCAAGGAGCAGCCTGGTTTAACCCTGTCCAGAATGAACCTGTTCATTTTCTTAGCAGTCCATAGTATATTTAATACTCTTCTCCAACACTACAGCTTAAAGGCATCAATTCTTTTTCTCTCCTCCCTAGTCATTGTCCAACTCTCTGATGCATAGCAAGCCATTGAAAAGACCATGGCCTGTATCAGGCACACCTTAGTCTCCAGACTTATATCATTGCTCTTCAGTACTTTAGAGAGGTCTCTAACAGCAGATTTTCCTGTCGCAATACATCTTTTAATTTCCTCACTGCTGGTGTCAAGAATGTTGACTGTGGAGCCAAGCAAACTAAAACTATTAACTCTCCCAATCTCTTCACCACCCATACTGATGCTGCTAATTGGCCCAGTAGTGAGAATCTTCATTTTCTTATTTAGAAAGTTGAAGTCCCTGACCTTCTGCAGCAAATGCTTCAGGTCCTCCTCAGTTTCAGCAAGCAGGGTTGTGTCATCTGAATAACACAGATTTTTTATGAATCTTCCTCCAATCCTGATGCCACCCTTCTCCTCATACAGCCCAGCCTGCTGGATAATCTGTTCTGCATATAGGTTGAAAAGGTATTGAGATAGGACACTTCCCAATTTGGAACCATGCAGTGTTTCCTTGCTCTGTTCTGACGACTGCCTCCTAGTGAAAACATAGGTTTCACATTAGCACAATCAAGTGTTCTAGGATTCCCATTCTTCTCAGAGTCAGCCACAGTTTGTTGTGATCCACACAGTCAAACGTCTTTGCATAATCAATGAAATGCAGATAGACATTCCTCTGGTATTCTCTGCTTTCAGCCAAGATCCATCTAACATTAGCTACAATATCCCTAGTACCATAGCCCCTTCTAAAGCCAGCCTGCACTTCCGGCAGTTCTCTGCTGGTGTGCCGTTCCTGTCATTTTTGGATAATCTTCAGCAGGAACATGCTAATACATAGGCTCAGAAATTCAATATCTATGTTTGAATCTTGGATTTATTTTCTCTATGAAGAGCAATGTAACATCAGGACTGGTGGAAGATTCTTCAACGATCTGTATTATGCAAACAACATCATTTTGTTTGCAGAGAAAAAAATGAAGTGTTTATTTATGTCACCATTAAGCTTAAATACCACAACTTTCAGGACACACAC